CCCCAAAACCCCAAAACCCCAAAACCCCGTAATTGTTGCTTAAAATTGAAATTATTTTCAAGATGATGCCTTCTTCTCCTAAAATACCAGTGATTCAGATAAAATTGAGACCTTCTAAATCTCCTGTGGCTGATCCATTTGAAGCTGAAACTGATTATACCTGAAATCATTCGAACAGAGTTTCCGCAAAGAACATTCCGAATTCTGCAAAATTATTCGCAAAGCAGGATGATAAGAATAATTTGAGCATGAATAAGACTCAGACACACAAAAAACGGAGGAAAGCTTTTAAACTACGAAACACTTATTACATCACAAAACCAGGTAAGTTCTTTAATATTTGATGTATTTTCATGAATTCTGATAAAAATCCTGATCTGGAAACCCCACTTTCTACTTCTGGGCTTAATTATGAAGGGTTATGTAGATGATAAGAAAGAGGCGCCTCAAAGAAGACCCAAACTTTTGCAACCAATGGAGATCTCTCTTCATCTTGGTAATTATACTAAGTACCGCCAAAGCGTGACTTCTAAGAGCAAGAAGAGGGGCTCGAGCAGGTCTAAGGCTGATGGCTCGGTGAAAATCAAACGGAAATATCGTAAGTTTACAAACTCTTGTTGTTGTTCAAGCTCCTTTGATGAAATTTTAAACATTAAAATGCACTTTTTGGGAAATTTTTGAGCCGATTTCTCATTAAGGCTGAGCACATTAAGCGTAATGATTATATAGAGAAGGTATCCAGCAGGTTATCTCCAAGGGCGATTAAGGTGAACCTTAACAGCCCAGCGATGAAACATCAGAAGATAGGTGTAAGGACACCTAGAGCTTCAAGGTAGGTTTGACTCTAGTTCTCTAAAACCACATCTGACCACAAGCTTAGACTCAAGCCTCATGATTGGGAAAGGAATGTCAAGCCTACTTCTGTTTGTAAGAGTATCAAAGACCTTCCTAGTGTTGAGAGAAAGTAATTTGCTGCTAATAATATCCTAGAATTAGCAAGAAATTGGATGAAGATCAATATCGTTCTAATAAGCCTTGTAAGACTATATCGGTCTCTAATACTTAGATTTAAAGAAGGAGCAAACTTCTAATACGAAATCTCTCGCTGTACTGCTTTTTTATAAAATTTAGAATTTGAAGGTTGGCTCGAGATATCACATGATGAGAACGGATTCTTCCGAAGACGAGATGACTGACATGAGTCCGAGATATTTCAATGAATATTCTCAGAAGAAATCTAATCTTCGGAAAGTAAATAGATGTTGTAAGTTGTAATAGAAATACCAGGATGAAATTGTGCAGCTGACTGTTATTGCAACTGGACTGAAGCATGAAAATAAGGAACTGTTAGCCGAAATTAATAAAGTGATGGAGATGAAATTAGTAGTGTAATTTTACATATAACTCATTTTAAATATTAGGGAACATTTTCAATAACCCTTTGATCTAAAGGGGTTTTGGGGTTTTGGGGTTTTGGGGTTTTGGGG